AAAAAAAAMMAACACAAAACAGGACTCATATAAAAATAACATCTTCAGTCATCATTATACCTTCTTTTCAGTTAAAGACATGAATGTTATAAAATACTCTGACCACAAACTAGTTGGACTTTTAAAACACTAATGTAGAAGACAAAAAAGAGATGAGAAATTATTTATACATATTGTCCTCTAAATAAGACCAGAGAAGCAGCAGATGCTGATACCTCATATCTCCAAACTTCTTGCTGATAGCTGTTCCTACGTTGCTGATAGCTGCTGTTGCTTTTTGYCCCGCATGGCTCAGGGTCTCGTGTGTTTTCTTGTAACTGGAAAGAAAAAATAGAACAGAAACAGTGATAAGTATTAAAAAAGAGAAACTAGAATCTCTGCAATTAATTTTCYTCAAAGTTCCAACCACTGAAATGTTAAGAAAAATAGCTCAAAACAAATGGTGAGGATGCCCATTTCTGCACAGCTTCCTAAGTGCAAGGTTCTCCAGARCAATCCTTCACTTAGCAATCCTCTCTTTCCCCTTGCAGATAACACCTCCCAGATGGGCCACGCTGTTTAAAAGCAGAATGCAGTGATTTGTTGAACATCTGTTTGATGCAACTTCTGTTTACAGAAAATCATATTTACATCTAGTAAGTATTCTTCCAGCAGACACTGACCTCATGGTAAAATCTGCTGTCTGATGCAGAGAAAAGAATCAGGACAAATACAACTCTGCTCTTTCAAGCATATACATACTAAATACATTTGACAGATACACATCAAAATTATTCTGTGATATTTAAAATAGAAAAAAAACCCCTCAAATCTATGTCCATATACCACAATTATCCTTTTCTTTTCTTTTTTTTTTTTTTTCCTCTTTTTAAAATTTCTTCAAAGGAAGAAGATTTGGGGTAGGACAGAGAAAGAAAGATGAAGAGACCTAGACAGTGAATGCATATTCTTAGTAGGACTGAATTCTTTTAAAAGATGTCACTAATTTCTCTTCTAGCATACATTTTCAAACACAGAATCGTCTTAATTTACTGACCCAGAATATACACTCTGACCCATACAGACCCTTCAATACAGTTAACTTGTACTCTCATAGTAATCAATAAGCTTTTCTGCACAGAAGATTTTCTGCTGACTAAAGTAATTCTGAGCATGTCAGAGGCTTCCTTCTGAGTAAATTATCTGATACTCCCAGTGACGCAGACAAGCTCAGAATTAGAAGTACTGACCTAGTAACAAAAGGAGAGCACACTATAATCAGTCTTGTATCCTGTGGTGTGCRTTGGCAGACAAGAACTGAAGAAATGATAATGAAAAATTCAGAAATAAAATTCCACTGGTTCTCATTCTTCTTTGAACAAAAACTATAGGATTGCAAGCATGTACCAAAATACACTGGCAACTGATTAAAAAACATCCCACCTCCTAAGTCCTTACAGCAGCATGTTTTCTTCTTATTATTATGTATATGAAAGCAATAAYTTTGTGGAGGAAGGAGGGGAAATAAGATTAACATTTACAGTATGGATATCACATTTTATATCACATCCTTTTAGCCCCAGCAGTACTTATTGGTCAAAGTACTCTGTTCAGGACTGTATTTTACAAGCCACTGGTTTGATGGCAGATGCTACATAATGTTCTGTTCYTTCAGACAGTATACTTTGATTTTATGTTCCTAAGCTACAACATTCTACTGCCCWAACAAGTTTTCAAACTGCCAAATGAAAGGGCTCAAGGCCTTAGGAGGCAATTGAAGGGTAMCAAATCCCTAGGAGCCTCCAGTTAGATAAGCTGAACCAAACACATGCACAGGGTTGAACAAAGGCTAAAAGATGGCAACACTGCAAGAAGGAACACAAATTAGAAAAGAAGGAGCACTGGTAATGCCTGTTTTATTTATTCTGGTACARTACAGAGAAGATGGAAAATTGGTTTTTACCATATCTTCTTTCTCCTTAACCAGTCTGTCCCTGCAGCAAGAATGCAATACTCTTATTTCACTGAGGCCTCTTCTTGTAGCTTAACAAGTTTAATAGCTCTGTCATTCTCTTGCTGACAGTAGATATACTCTCATGTAAACTACAACGGGATGAGACCCTAAAATAAGGATGCTACAAACTATGAGTACCTAGCTTTTTGATAAGAGGTGCCCATGAAAAACAAGAAAATCAAACATTCTATTGCCTGTGACATGCAAATCTTAGAGTTTGATAACAGAGAAGCTTCCTAAACCATTCAGCACAACTGCAGTTTTGATGATGACAAATTGAAGGCCAAGACTTGACTTCCAAGTCTAAAAGGTCCTTTGTAGGACAACCTATTTATTACCGGTTGAAAGTACACAGTAAAATACTTTTCAGATATCCATCTGAACTGATCTTTTGAAATGAAACTGTGGAGTTAATTTTATTGATAGGCATATTTAACTTTATGATAAAATATCTCCATGTCTTACCTTTTCACTGCAAGTTCTTCACAACGTGCAAAACWATCGAGAGAATAGTATCAAATGCGCCAGAGAGCAAACAGACCCCAATTTCACCGAGAAATGTTATAGTYCCCTAAGTATTTCTGAATGTTACATTGGTCAGAACACATCTTCTGGAAAGAGGCTGAAATGACACTGATTTTGACATACCTACAATACTGTGTTTTCTCTGTAAATYCCATAAACCAAACATCCTCCAGTATTTCCACTAACAAGGAGGACATGGAGACTGCATTTGTGTTCCTAATACTTTTGACATTACATAAGAGCATAAATCCAGCTAAAACTGTTACACAACTAGTCTTTTTTCAGCACCAACTTCAGCAAAAATGACCTCTGACATGTCCCCTCCCCACTTCATCAATACTGAAGAAAAGCCTTAAGGAATAACAAAATAACAAAGGCGAAAACAGAGTACAACACGCAACACCTGTCAGCAGAGACAAGATACATTAATTTGCATTTCAAAAGAGTTCACCCATAGCTTAAAAATCAAACCCCCTGTCCATTCCCATCTCTCCACCATTCCATGTATCACTTTGCCTACTTCATAAATAATCTTCCCACAGAGGACATTGCCTCACTGCTAGTTATGCTCCGTGTTGATATTTTGATATATGATGCACAGTATTTTGGCTCTAAAATTTTTATGCCATGTTTACAGCATCCATTTGATATCTTGCCAAGCACTCTGGTAACAATGATCTCTTCAACATATTCTCTCTGACTTCTGGAAATCTTGTCAGTTTGTATTTCACATTAATCATCTGACAAGCCATTTTCATCATCTCATGTAATTCATAGCAGTTTTTCCTTTTGTTTTAATGCGCTAAACAACTTAGATAATTTTCAAAAACCTTTATCAGTAGAAATAAAGTTGGATATTTCAGGTAAGAGCTACAAACTCATTAATTGGAAAAAGTGCCCTATGTATTGTTTAAGTCATCCTTACACCACCAAGTGCTCTGCTCTCAAGTCATCTACAACACCTCACCATCATCCTTTGGGCAGCCASTGCTGGCAATCCTTAGGTGAGTGCTGCCCGCCAGTTTATCGGGACAGGGTCGCAGCAGTCAGTCAGCCAGCACTCAGATTAGACCAGTGCCTCCAAAACTTACAGGCAGAAATGCTCCAGCAAAAACAAACTCAGATATTTTAGGATACAAGGATTCATGAAATAGAATCTTCCATCCTTCCATGGTGTGCATTTTTACACAAATACATCATTACACTAACACAAHGGCATTACAATGTAATCATCAGAATTACACCAGACACGCAGCAGCAKTACCAGAAGTAGAAACAGGCTACTTGATTTATTCAGTTAGAGTAGCAGTGCCTACTTTGATTTTGTGGCATCTGAAAATACTCCAGAGCACAGAATTGCTGGTAATGGTTAACAAAGAACATATTCCATGCTTTCACTTAGCACTTAGCAGTAAATATTTATAAGGTATTTCATGGATAAGAAGCATGAAACAAATAAGTTATATCAACCACTGTCTCAATTGTAAATAACAGTCATGTGTGAACATTTGAATATTACCTTTATATATGACATTAACCTAAGAATTTAATCCATCAACTTCTGATTATCATTTTGTTTTTAMAATAAGGTATTTCTTTACCAGAAGCAATTATTTATAAAACTGATTATCAGAGGTTATCACAAAACATGCTGATATTGCAGSTATATTCTGATAACATGCCCAACACATTTAGAAGAAGCTTTAAAAATAACTCACAACTCCAGCGCTGTAACATACTATTTAGACAAAGTAGATTTGCAACAYATTTTGACTGCATTTTCACCTGACAGTTTCATATACTACATTTAGATTATGCTATCCTGTGACAACCAGGTTTKGCTAGGCGATTTTTACAGCCACTGAAAGCAAATATAAGGAGATACTGTTTCATAATACATAACATGTGAAAGAAATTATGCTTTATAGAGAGTGTAGCCAGGCAGCAGCCATATAGAGAGAACTAGACATTTAAATGGCCAACATCATCTGCAGAATGAGACAGGACAGTCATACTCATCCCATCTCAGTAGAGAATTGCCCTTCACACAGCAGAGTTAAATGTAACCTTCCTTCACAGGTGCAATACATAGCCTGCTGACAGAAGTAGGTTACACATGTAATATTTATATTTTGCATGTCAAGCTGCACGTTTTATCTACTGCAGTAAATTGTAAAGAATTTTAATTCAGCTTCTGTAAAATTAGTACATCTGCTAATTAGTACATCTTCATTCAGCATTGTGCCTCTCCATCAATGCTTGCTGGCAAAATTAATCCATTTGAAAAACCCTTGCCTGTGATAAGGCTTACAGAAGATGTTACAGAATGCAAACAATTAACAACAAAAGCATACAGTAGAGCAGAGCCTGGTAGCACAAGCCATGCCCTATGGAGCTTGCTTCTTTCAGCTTTCAAACCATTAGTCAGCTTAAGAATGACTTTTCTGAAACCGATCTAAAGTGTCTGGATCTCTGAGAAACTCTMAGCTAGAACACTATTTTCCTTTTGATTTTCTGGGAGAAATGGGGCTCAGCGTTAACTAACTTATGCTAATTATCAAATGAGGTAAATGCATACATGAATGACAGATAAAATGTACATAAAAATTCTCTAGGAACATTCTTATTGTCACTTTTGCCACAAATGAATTCTAAGCTGTTGTGCATTATTTTGGGGGGTTGTTTTTGGTTTTTTTTTTTTTTTTAGTACTCTCCTGAAATTTATTCCAACTTCAAAACCAAATGACAGATATACTTTTTTTGACATCCTTCCCATTGCCAGGAATGTTAAGAATTAAT